GTAGTTGACCAACAGTGCCACAAGCCAGCAGCCTGACTTAGGCTGCATAACCCTAGGTGAGATAATGGCAGCCAATGAGTAGAAGAGCTCAGAGCTGACTCCCGATGGGTGTGTCAACATCTGCTTTATGGAATTCATGAAAGACAAGGGAGATGACAGAAGCCAACGTTTTGCTTCTCCATCATTGGACATTCCTCCCCTTTATTAAGCAGTATTATTTGACTGGGGTGAAAACTGCCAGTTTTCCTCACTACCTAACAAGAGGTGCATTAAGACTAAGCAAAAAATGTCTTGGTGTTAATAAAGTTACACATTCATTAGCTTTTGATGAATGCCTGCAACCCCTCTCCACTCCCCAAAAATCTACTTCGAGTACCTCCAGGCTCTAATCACAATATTCACAGTAATTAAGGTTTTGATTTTAAATATGTCTAAAGCTGCCTAGAGATGTTCTGATTACCAGCTGAGCCTCAGATACAAATGACTGGAGCATTTCTCTTGCTTTCTGGGGGAAAATCTGTCGGCAAGTTTCAAAATTTGATGCTAGTTCAAGTGATTTGGCCATATGACAAAGATTCCTAATTCATCACTTCTCTTCATTGACTCACACAAGAAAGAAAAATTTTCTACAGAGCAAACCCGGGTGGTTTACTTTCCAGCATGTCAGTCTTTCTATTTTATCTTGGATTCTGCAACCAATAGCAAGGTAGGAAGAGAAAAGCAGACAGACAGTTTACAGTACAAAATAGTACCATGTAGCTGTCACATTACAGATTGACACTGGTTTAGTAATTAATTCCTTCCCACATCCAGTCAGTTTTCTTTATAGAATCATAGAATCATTAAGGTTGGAAAAGACCTTTAAAATCATCAAGTCCAACCATCAACCTGACACAATCATGCCCATTAAACCATGTCCTGAAGCACAAGATTAGCTACTGCTGGACAATCAGGTTTGCAGATACGAAATACACAAAAATACGAAATACTTATAAAATACACATACAAATTAACTTGCATTTCTTATCTCCTCCAAATTTCAAAGCTAGTCAGTCGAAAACTGGAAAAATCTTGAGTACTCGCTTTTCTAAATAACATTGACCCCAGATGAAAGGGAAGGGTTTTAAAAAACAATTAAAGTAACCTAACCTTCCATGAGAGGATATATTGCTTCTGTATTTTACACTTTGACATGCATTAGTGTTTTGGAGTAAAACCTGCAAAGAAAAAAGCCCCTTGAGAAAATAAAAGGTGGTTATCATTAAAAGGCACTGCCAAACAAGTTTGTCATTTTGCACAGCAAGACTAAGGAGTTAATCTCTAATTCATCAGGAAAAGAGGCAAAAGCCAATAGCAAGAAGTATACTTACTCCCCTAAACTGAAAAATGTCACTTGTTCTTACTTTAGTCTGTCTGTCATCATGTCTTGAATACAGCTTCCAAATCTTTTCTAGAATAAACTTCTTATTGGGATGCATCACAAACTACATCATAATCTGTGATTATGAAATTATTTCTACTGCAGCAACAATGGTATAGCAACAAAGAGTCCAGTCTGAAAAAGGCAAACTACTGAATAACACTAATCCCCTCAGGAAAGCAAAGAGCTATAGAAAGATTAGGAATGGATGGCATGAAAACAGGTTTTATCAAGAAAATTATTTGGTACTCAACACTGGTTAACAACCAATATTATACTATCTGGTATTCAAATATACTGTTATATCATTCAAATACAGTAAAGTATTTACTATTCAATGCTAACTGCAGCATTATCTCATTAAATCGTCAATGGTCAACTACTCCGTGCTACAAAAATATCCTCCAGCAACTGACAACTTAGAAGTAATAGGCATTAAAGCACTGACTGGATCAGACTGTGGCTTTTAATGTGTAGGAAGCTCTAGCTGATCTACCATACAGAAATTGTCCTTGTTGAAGACAGCTTTCCAAAAAAAGTGGGAAGGGTCAGAGAAATCAGTCCAAAAAATACTTCCCCAGACAGACAACTTGCCTAAGCTATCTAGAGAGATTACTCCTCGCAGGAAAGGACAGGTTCTGAAGTACAGTGGTGGGAGGTCATGGGCACTAAACATAACAGTGGTCTGGACACTGACATAGGCAACCTGTTCTAGGCAACCCTGCTTGAGTAGAGGTGTTAGACAAGAGAACCTCTGGACGTCCCTTCCAATCTCCACCATTCTGTGACTCTAACAGACACTTCACAAACTCCATGACCTACATGAACATTGAACAGATAGGTCAGAACACACGGTGGTGACCAAAACCATTGCAGAGTATGTGTTTTTTCTAGTTGGCAATTCAGAGGAATGAAGGACATAGTGCATGAACATGTACTACACTGGCTGGTGGTGCATAAGTGCCTGCCCAGCTGATAGAACAGACGCAGGTCATTTTCACTAGCTGGACATATCTTCAGTAGGACCTAATATAAAAAGCATTCAAAGAATGAAGGCTGTACAGATCTAATAAAAATGCAGTTAGTCACTCTGGAAAGTGGCTGCCATATCCGATGAGCAATTCATTGGGCCACTTGGGTTTCTGTTCAGACTAGTGTGAACAAGAAAGATAGGGAAGAGATGGAGTAGGGGGGGATTATGACACGTGTGCCAAGGGACACAGCAATTTCCAGAATATGAAAGCAATCTTTACTCTTCTAAACACTTTCTATTAAAGGATCTTGAAACATTTACAGGGGAATGGGTCTCTTCAGAAGAAAAATTGAGGCCTCAGATGAAGGGTTGTTTGTTTTTCTTTTTACACTAATGTAGCTGCTTGCAAGTACAGCTAACGCAACTAATTTTGCTTTTCCACACAGGAAAGCCAATCTGGGAAACTGTTAAGGAAGTATCAGAGCATACTTGTTAGCTATTATCTTAATTACACATACATTCACTACTAACACTGAGATGTTATTTCTGGACCATTAAGCTTGGGGTCTCAATCTATACTTAAAAGTTTTCTGAAGAATAGACACCTGAATGTTTTAGCTTATGGTATCTAAGAACATAAATAAACCAGAACTTACATTCTTATTCAGAAAAAAGCTACATAACCCAACTCTTGTTGAACTACCCCAACCCAGAATTACCATTCCCAGAACATTCCTTTGTTCCTAAAACAAAGAGGGAGCAGCAATAAACTTAAATTCTGCCCATAAATGAACACAAGAATTGTATTATTGATCAAAATGCAATGTATTTTTAAAACTCTGTTCAAATAGGTTAAAAGCTGAATGAACTTTTAACTACTCACTTTTTAAAGTTATCAGTACTTCTCTTCAGAATTGGTATTTGGAAAACTCATTCGTTGGAAACTAAACTTTAGTATACTGCACATAATAAAAGATATAGTTGATTACACGGGTAATCAGAAGTCTTAACGTCTAATTCACCAAGAGTAGATCAAACGATCTTCTCTTACAAAAACTAGCTGAAGTTTACAAACTCTTAAAGGGAGGCAGTATTTTCACTAAATCTCCCGCCCCAGTATATATACTTTTTTAAAAACAAAATGATAGAATATGTGAAAGTTTGACTACTATTAATAGTCACAAAGCTATGTACTTAAGACTCTTCTCATATTGGCAACCGTAGACATGGCTTCAAAATATAGCATCTACACCCACACAATTTGGTATGTTGAGTGAGGAAGCATGCTGAAATTTTAATACTCAGAAACTGCAATGTCTCCCACCAACACCTAGTTACAGGAAATCTGTATTTCAACATCCTCTATGAGTTCTATTTACCACTTACAGTTTAAACCTCGTAACAGTAGGACTCATTTTTTAAATGTCACCCCAGCCAAGAGGTAAAAGGAATTCAGGACAAACTATGTTTTAAAAAAAGAAACATTCATAAATCAAGCATTTAAGACAATATCACCCTCTTCTACAGAACTTAGACAACCAAAAGCTCTCCAGGTTAGAATAGATCTTTGCTCAAAAGCTGGTAATCTAAATATCCAAAATAGCTACAGGTAGAATAAGAGAAAGGGTAGTGACAGTATTACAGTAGATTATGAAAACAGGAGACATCAAATGAAGTTTGAAAGAGACAGTCATAAGCTCTGAGATTTTTAGCTGGGTAGACATTAGCTTTCTATTTTAATTGTTATGTGCTACACATGTATCAACAGAATCTATTATGTGGCTGATCAGATAAGGGAAAGAAGAGCTTTTCCAAAGAAAGAACAAAAATAAATAATACTTATGGGAACAGAGAGGAAAAAAGTACTGCTAAGTGCACATTTCAAAACTGCAGTGGAGATGCTGGTACAACTTCAAGACTAGTAACCAGAGGTGGAGGGAAATAGCTAGAACATAAACCTGCAAAAATAAATTACTTCAAAGAGTTACCAGCACAGCAACTCAACATTCAGGATGGCTCTATCCTGAAAAGTGTAGCTCTGCTATTTTCTATCTCGAAAATTGTGGCTTCGCTATTTTTATGGACAGAGCATGTATATTACAGGACAGGGCAGGGAACAGCCCTGGTTACATTGCAACTCCACCCAAACACAAAGCAAATCCAGAAACACTGTGCTTCTTGGTTCACTGGGACACAATTCGATGCCAGAAAAGCATAAAATAATTTTTTCCAATCCACACTACTTGCACAAATCCCTACTTTAGTATTTCAAAGCAAGGAAGTTATTAAGAACACCTTTCAGGTTAACAGCTCTTCCTCAGAAAAATACATTTAACTCAAATTTTTATCTTTACCTTGGGAAACATGAAGTTAGAAGTTAGTTATTACTGAGGAATTATTTTATAATTGCTAGTTAGGCTTCCAATTGCACCATTACGGAGCACACACTTCTTTAGGATAGGCTGTGTTACTTATTAAGTCTGTAAAAATCACTAGATAATGAAAAAGCATAAAGCAAGAACAAAGCAAGTAAGAGAGACATGAGCTTACCCTTTGTTAGGAAATAAAACTATGCATCTGAAACTACACTACCTTTCAAAAGCTTACCTTCTTTTTGTCCCTCATTGAGCCCTTCCCTCGGACCATTATCTTGCATCCTGTTTCTGCCTCAAGCTGTTTAGCTGTTAGTCCTCTGGGCCCAAGGATTCTTCCAACAAAGTTAAACTGGGGGGAAAAAATAAAAGATTATTTCTGTAAAAGTAAGTAAACAAAATTAATTTAAAATTTAACAAGATGTACTTCTGTCTCTAAAATATCATCAAGCGTTTATCAGTTTAGAACACTACCCTAAATACTTGAGGTTAAAGAATGAGGTAAGTACTATTTTCATACATTAGACACCTATGCAACCTCCACTTCAGGGGATACAGGTTTCAGGTGAAAATAGGTTTTTTTAAGTTTAACAGCTGATTTTGTCCTCATTAAGTTGTATGAGCTCTCACAGAAACTACAAACCACCCTCCCTTACCACTAATAACATGACCAAACATGCTCATTAGTAGGCCAACACTGCGCATCATGTCACAGAAATACACAGCTTCTGGTTGCGTGACCAGACACGCACACAACTTCCACGTGGTGGTACTGATCAAGTGCCAGGTGTAGGTCCAGTCCTATAATGGCACAGGGTCTTCAGGAAAGGCCCCTAGGCCCACTGTTCATTTGCTCCCTGTCTATAGCTAAGGAGCCTGCAGAAAACATTCCTTTTCACCCATTCCACACTGTTGTAAGTGGGCTCAACCTGGACAGCACGCTGCTGGCTGGCCACCTGCATCTACAGAAACTCTTCTGTGCCATAGCATTTCCCTCAGGAAAAAAACGAAACAACTGAGGCTTCTTACGTATTCACTTCAGGTTTCATGGTCAACAGTTCTGAAAAACATTTTATTTGCCAGAGATAGATAGATATATATAAAAATCAAAATATATATTTTTTAATATGTGTGTATATATGTGTATATACAGACATAACAAAAGCGTATTATTTTTTATAAGTTGTATCCTTTACTCTGTTGCGCATACCAACAGAGCAAGTATTTAATGTTTAGTTGTAACTTCAATATCAGCAGCCTCCTGCCTACGCTCAACACAGTAATACTGCCAGTTGGCCATACACAACATTATTTCCTAGTGATTTTCCAAGGTTTTTTCCCCCTTTATTATCAGTCACACATGCTGGACATTATGGCATAAATTTAAAATGTACTAAGTGAAGGTATCATTAAGGACATAGAACAGTACTCTGTGACAACTACAGTGCAAAGATGAAGCACCAGGCTCAAAGGATACATAAACCTAGAAATTTCAGACTGAATATTAAATTCAAAGAAGAGAACGGAAACTCTGCAGTAAGGACAGAAGTCTGGATATTTTAGAACCTGAATAACAAAGGAATTATGAAGAATTTATTGGCTTTCATTTCTTCAGCTAATTAAAATTGGTTTTGAGTTTTACAACGCAACATAACTGAAATCCTTACAAAACTGCAAAGACCAGAAATTATTTAGGAGTGAGCAGAAATTAAACTTCTTCAACAAAAATAATTGTTTCACATGATGGCTAAATTGGTTTTAGAGAAGATATACTCCCAAAATTATTTAGTATTCAAAGCTCAAAAACCAAAGACATATTATGAAGTCTGAATCAACTGTCGGGGGGAAAAATAAATAATAAAGGCACTTGTGAATACATATGCAAAACTGTGAATCATAGGAAATTAAAGAAAAGTCACTAAGACTGGATAAACCAATGAACCAGCTACAAATGATAAAGTTCAGCCTTGAAATTTTATCAAAACCCTGCATTTGTTACAAATTTTATCCTTAATACCAAAATTATACCACTATCTTACATAAACAGCGTCTTACTTGCCTTTCTCCGCAACCACACTTCCTGAACGCTAAATCTTTAGATATCTATCCCATTCCACTGGTAAAGCTAAAATATTGCAAACCTGACTTTAAATCACTCCTCTAACCAACATACAAGGTGACTGACTCATTACATTCTCTCTCTCCTAAGAGAAACAGCAGTCTCTAATATTTTATTAACTTGGATAATGATTAAAATAATAATCAAATTCTTGGATAGAATAATTTAGATAAAAAGTTGAACACAAGAATTTAAGATACCAAGAAAAAAAATCCTGGAATTTTTATTATGCTGAAGCTTGCAACTTTATTTACTTTGTCTACACACTACTTAGAACTGTGGTTTTTAGTTGAGAAATTGCTGATTTAAAATGTAACACATTGTGTTAATTTCAAGCCAGTTTCTTTTCCAGCTACTCCCAGAATATTCTCCTTATAAAGAATCTTCATAAATTGTTCCAAGGTAGCTCAATCCCCTGTCTTTTCTTTCCAAACTGTATGCATTAGCACCTGGAATCTTTTTGGACAGGTATTCGTTTTAAAATTCTGACCCTTTTTTCTTACGGCTCTTGGGCCCTCCAATTGGTTCATTTCTTAAAGCAGGATGCCTGGACAAGGCAATAGTTCAACTAAGACTAGATATTAGAAAGAAATTCTTTACTGTGAGGGTGGTGAGACACTGGCACAGGTTTCCCAGGGAAGCTATGGATGCCCCCTTCCTGGGGGTGTCCAAGTCCAGGTTGGATGGGGCTTTGGGCAACCTGGTCTGGTGGGAAGTGTCCCTGCCCATGGTAGGGGAGTTGGACTGGATGATCTTTAAGGTCCCTTCCAACCCAAACCATTCTATGATTCTGTGAGACCTCAACAAGGTTAAGTTACTCAAAACAACTATATCTTAAATACTGTATTCTTATTAACACATCCCAACCTCTTCTTCCCCCTCTCCCCCCAAAGAAAAAATTACAATCACTTCTTATGTTTGGTTCAACATTCATTGACCCTAGATACTCTTCTCCATTTCCTCTGCCTTGCCAGTTTTGTATTCATACACAACTTTATACAACAAAATATTGCTTTAAACGTGTGTTATTAATTTCACATTGTTGACTTCAGGCTCACAAATTTCAAGACAGTTTTGAATTTTAATTCCATCTTTAAAAGCATTTGGTATGACTCAATTGTTTCCTAAGTGTACTCTCTATGCCACAAACCAAGTTATTCCTGAATGTGTCAGAGACCCAAGGTGAAGGAAGGCTCTGCAGGACCCCACCTGAGATGCGGTCTTAATTCAGTCATCAATTATCATAGTTTAAACCATTATTGCTTTAACAAATGATTCCCAAGCTTTTGTATCAATGAATCACTCAGCATTCAGTTCCTCAGACCACTATCTCAAAGTCCTAGCTGACAACTCTGTAGGAAAAAACAATTCTGACTCTCTTGTGAGGGGACATGGTATACAGAGCAGTGACCAGCAGACCACAACTCAGGAACACCATGTAGACTAAGCCTTTTAGTTGGACAGACTCAAAAGTTTTATAGGAATCCAGCTCTGTCAGCAGATACTGATTCTCTTCCCTGCCAGGCCAGCTAGATTATCAAACAGAATTACTGGAACCAGATGTGAGTGCTCCCTCAGCAAGTTTGCAGATGA